AAAGCCCTCAATAGAGGGCATTCTAACAGTCCCCTTTCCCCCAAAGTCTGTACCCCCTATGGCACCATTAACAGCCAGACTGGCCTCCCTCCCCACCCCCTCCCCAAACCCCTTAAAAATTTACACAAAGACAATTTTAAATTTTCTTTCAGATGTGAAAATGATAACTTTAAATCATCTGATGGGCTAATGAAACTTAGACATTATACATAAATAGTATCAGATATATGGTTAAGTCAGTTTGAATTACATCTGTGGTTTGATTTTGTCTCTGAAGTTCTACTGTGCTGCCTTGTCATTCCTAGGATAGATGAGTGTAGAATGCTGAGAAGATTTGCAAAGGGTACATAATCCTAGAAGGATTGCCCAAGTATGAAGGACATCCCAGTTGGCATCTAAAGCAAGCAGGCACCTATCTTGGGTAGCAATAACATAGAGGCTGGAGGCAGAGATCACTTTTGTGACAATGACAAAACCATCAATTAATACTGTATGGGAGAAGGCAATATTAATGCTCCAGTATTTTTTACCAAGAACGCCACATGGATAAAAAATACAAAGGATTGTTGATATGGTCCTGGATGATGGACACCACTAGTTAAATGGTACTTAATGTATTACTGAGCAAGAGCTGATGATCTTTTAGAACAGGGTGTCAAACTCACAGCGTCACAGTGGCATCATGTGATGTATGGGCTTTTTTTTCCCTTTTGCTAAATTGAGAGTGGGCGTGGCCAGCATGTGACACATCCAGCCTGTTTTAATGGGTAGCTCATACCCAGCTTTGTTTTTTGGGTCCATGCAGGCTTTCTGATGCCTGAAGAAATTCAGGCAAGGAGAATTCAGAAATCAACCACATGTTTTTCAGACAACCGGTATTTTGAGGGTACTAAAACAAGGCTTTCTCAATCCTCTAATGCAGGGATCAGCAACCCACAGCTCTGGAGCTGCATGTGACTCTTTCATCCCTCTGCTGTGGCTCCTTGTCACCAGTCGGCTCCAAAATTGATAGGGCTTTTGGTTAGGACAGGTAGAGGAAAAAGGACAGCACGCTAGGAGGAGACTCTATGATGGGGGGAACAAGACTTCTGGTCGGCATAGGAAAAAGGATGCCACGCTACAAGGAGACTCTATGATGGGGAAATTGGACTGCCAGTCAGCAGAGGAAAAAGAATGCTGCGCTAGGAGGAGAATGTATGGTGGGGAAACCAGACTTCCGGTCAGCTGCACAATTTAATGGGGAGCTTCCCTTTAGGACCTTTGTGGCTCTTTGAGTGTTTAAAGTTGCTGACCCCTGCTCTAATGAGTAGCCAGCTGTGAGGCAGGGGTGTCATCAAATTCAACAGCTCTTTTGTGTAACTGACAAAAATGGATAAGATATATGGGCTCATCATTTCTTAAACACTTTAATTAAGTTATATTAACTTGAAGAGATACTTCCCTCAGTTACTGAGATGTATCTCTCTTTATGGCTTTCAATATTTTTAGATCATTTTGGATTAAAAAATGATTTGGTACATACTGTAGATTTAGTTTATAGAACAAGAAGATCTTTTTTGAGGTTCTTTATTAAAGGATTAAAACTTGTTGAAAGAATTCAATCTGTAATATTCGAGGCTGCATTTTTCCTGATATTTAATTTTGCTCAGTGTCTATTTGTTTGGATCTAACAGCAAATGTAATTGGCGAAGCTTTTTGTCTGGCCCTTCTCTTTATTTTCTCTGAGAAAGTAAATTGTAATTATTTTATAGATAGAAGTGCATATTAGTAGCTCAGGCTGAATTGTAGAGTCCTTGGTGCTCTCTGATCTTGGTTGTTTTCTTGCAGACGTTTCATTACCAAACTAGGTAACACAATCAATGTTAGAAGAGAGTGGTGTTCGCTTTCATTTTATATAATAGTGGCTTGCCCTGTCAGGGTTGGTGGAAATGTTCTTGGTGGTTCCTTGATTAGGCTGTTGTTTATTGTTAGCTTGTTTGTTTGACTTAGTGGTTCCTTGATTGGAATATTGTTTACGTCTTGATTTGTTGGTTTAATTGTTTTCTTTGGGTTGGTTATTTTCTTTTTTTTATTCAACACACACTAGCATATTAATGATCATTTTTTTCTTTGTTAATTGATAGGCAAGATTTAATTTGAAGGACTGGGTTATAAGATTAATCATGATTTTGGTAAGTAGGTGAGTTTAAGTAATGAACTTTATGGTGAAATGTACTTTTAATAAGATTTATATAAAAATGTAAACATTGATTTATATTTGAGATGGGAAATTTTTATTATGATGGATCAATAAAATGGAAAAAATATGAGATTTCTTTCTTTTCTTTTTTATAATTATATCAGTGAGGTAATATAATGCATAGAGAAGAAACAAATGTAAAAATTTGTTAAGAATCTCTAGCATTTGAAAATGAATTCACTGGGTTATTACTAAGTCAGAAGGCTTTAGGAACTCTGAAACAGCTTCAGAAACATGACCAAAAAAACCCAAAACAAAGCAGAAGAATCAGTAAAAGCTCTAACCAAGCTCTGAAAGCAAATCTATAGAATAGTGGCCAAATGATTGGAGGTGATCATTCTACATTCCAGTATTAAAGATAGGAAATTTAATAGATTGTGTAAACTGTCATACAAAATCCTTAATTTCACATGCTAACAAATTATGTTTAGAATTATCCAGCTCAGAGAACCCTATAAAGAAAAAGAAATTATGGTTTAAGAAAAGGCAGAGACATAAGAGGATTGATTTTATTTGATTAGATTTATAAGGCTAACCAACTCATTGTAACTCTGGGCTAATTATGGCTGATGCATGCTGGATAATTGAGAATAACAATAGCATTTAGACTTATACACCACTCCATAGTGCTTTACAGCACTCTCTAAGCAATTTACAATGTCAGCATATTTTCCCCCAACAACCCTCGTTTTACCAACTTCAGAAGGCTGAAAGGCTGAGTCAACCTTGAGCCTCGAAGTCAGGATCAAAATCCAGACTGTGGGCAGAATTAACCTGCAATTCTGCATTCTAACCACTGCACCACCAGGGCTCCAGGGCAAGCCAAAGAATACCCCTAAAAAGTCACTATGGACTTTATTGGTTATAGAAAAGTTTTAGATTGGGTTGAAAATGTCAAACTCTGGAAACTGCTTAGGAAAATTGGAACACATCATTGTCTTCAAGACAAATCTATATAGAAGTCAGGAAGCGGTAGGCTGGCAGAATGTGGTGAAAGAGAATGTTTACAAATTGGAAAATGAAAAATAAAATACTGCATAATCTAATGAGGGGGTTGGAGAGAGACAGAGAGAGAGAGAGAGAGAGAGAGAGCAGGGAGAGGGGAAGGGAGGGAGAGTGTGAGTGTCAGTCCCATTTTGAAAGTATTGGTAGATGGAACTTGTTCTATCATCTGTGTGCTCCAAGGTAGAGGCTTAAATACTGGAAGTTTTCAAGTTACATTCCAGAATAGCTGATGCTGATGCTGGTTGCATAAACTGGACTACAGAGGATCAGTAACTAACTATTCCTGAGTACACCACTTCATAATGCCCCTTCGAGATACATTTACACTTTTTCACCTCTCTGCTCCATGGTTCTCTTCAATGATGATTTCACACAGCTCATGGTAAATTGCTGTAGACTACAGCTGCCGGTGCTTGCTATTCATCTTTTCCTTGACCATTATAGTAACATTTTTTGCTTTTAACCACAGGATTAATTAGCATATTGTTAGAGAGTGACTGCTAACTATTCCCAGTTTTCATAAAGGTAACAGTGGCACTGTTCACTGTGTGGGAAAATGTCTTTGCATAATAATAATAATTTAAAAAACTACAGAATTCTGAAATGTGTTACATATTAACAAAGGTGTAAAAATCATTAGCAAACATCTCACTGTATGTTGATTGCAAAACTAATCATCTGAAATCTGAAAGTGTGATAACCAAAAATTAAATGAAAATCTATTTACTATTTTATGTAAAAGACTATGTCCGTGAAGTGTAGGTTGTTAGAACTGGATGCCTTTCAATTAATTGCTTTTTGCTTCATCTATTAATTATTTCTTATGGCTTATGAGTTTAAAAAGATTTCAGTTTGATATTTGCCTCATGTCCATAGTTATTGAACCTTGGACTGATAAAATGCTATCATGAAAAAGTATTTTCTTGAAAGCTCTGAACATACCAAACATTTTTACTCTTTAAATTATATTTAGGCATCTTTACTGTGTGCCTTAGGAAAGCTAACAAAATAGGAACTGCTAGTTCTCTTTGTCTATAGAACTTATAGTTTACTAAATAAAGTACATTCAGGAAAAAAAAAACTAATAAAAACAAATGAGTTTCCTTCAATTGTCCTTCCATTTTTATGACTCAGAATAGAAATATATGTTTTATTAACTATCTGTATAACTAACCCAACCGAACATACTATAGGTTTAGTTTAGTTTATTTGATTTGTATACTGCCCTACTCCCGAAGGACTCAGGACGGTGACCAGCCACAAGATAAAAACACATAAATACAAAATTTAAAAACAGAATAAAACCGAATTAAACAATAGGTAGTATATTCGGTTAGGACTGGTTTCATTCCAAAGTCACTAATAAAAGATTTCCAATTCCTTTTGAAAAATAGAGTCACAAATTAAGCACCGTAGTGGCACAGTGGTTAGAATGCAGTATTGCAGGCTAATTCTGCTGACTGCCAGCAGTTCGATTCCCACTGCCTCAAGCCTTCCTCCTGAGGACCCAGATTGTTGTCAGCAATATGCTGACATTTGTAAGCTGCCTAGAGAGGGCTTTAAAGCACTGTGAAGTGGTATATATGTCTGAGTGCCTTTGCTATTGCTATAATCCAAAATTTTCAGCCTTTGACTTTTGAACTTTTCCATATGCACCTTTCTTTTGTGCTTAATTTGTGAGTTCTGCAAATCACATCAATAGAAGTACGTTCAAGGCAATCTAATAGGCATAGGAAATATAAAGTCTGTGGAAGATGTTTTATTTCAGCTAAAAGGTTAGCAGTCCCCTTGTTAAGTACAGAAGAGGCCCTTGCAGCATGGACAACATACATGTAGTTAAGACACTGCCATTTACATTGTGGTTACGAGGTTTTGCTTTATTTATTTGTTTGTTTGTTTAAGTTATTGTAATTTCCTTGTTTGATTGTTGAAAGTAATTGAGAATCAGGTGACAATACACATTTATTACATTGCTATTACTGTTGTCCCTTCCTTTATTATCATGACGAATGATGGGTCCCTAATTGTGTATAATCAAGTGACCTTACCAGACAAAAGCCTTAGCATCAGAACTGTTTCCAATTCATACTTTGCAAATGATTATTGTAGAATGAAAGCCCCTGTGTCCTGCCATATATGGTTTTTGGATTGCATTCTGCATTATATTTTGGCACACATTTAATATTATGAGACCATAAATAAGATAATCTACAACTATGCTTGATGAGAAAAAAAGAAAATGGCATTTGAAAAAGAAAATTCATCTGTGTGTGTGTGAGAGAGAGCGCTATAAATATTATTATATATTATGTTATAATATATTATGAATCAAGTACAGATAGTCCTCAATTTATGACCACAATTGAGCCCAAAATTTATGTTGCTAAGTGAGACATTTTTAAGTGACTTTTTCCCCATTTTATGACCTTTCCTGCCACAATTGTTAAATTAATCACTGCAATTGTTAAGTTAATAGCACAGTTGTTAAGTGAATCTAGCTTCCCCATTGATTTTGCTTTGCTTTGTCAGAAGAACATAAAAGGTCCTGATCTCAGGACATTGCAAATGTCATAAATATGAGTCAGTTGCCAAGCATCTGAATTTTGATCATATGACCACGGGGATGCTGAAATGGTCATAAGTATAAAAAATGGTAATGTCGCTTTTTTCAGTGATGTTGTAACTTTGAACAGTCACTAATTGAACTGTTATAAGAATATTTGTATTTATTTTCACACACCAATGAATAATTTGTTTTGAATAATTTTATTTTTTTATCAAAATCTCATAGATTATTGTGAAGTTACCTGAAGGTTTTTTAATGAACATTTTGTTTATTGAGATCAATTCAACACTCTCTTCTCGCCTCTTCTTTTGTCTCTGCTCTGCTCTACTCTACACTGCTCTTCCCTCCTTCTCTCCTTCCCTCCCTTCCTCTTCCTCCTCCCTCTCCCTTTCCTCTAGGATTAGAAGGGAAGAGTCTAAACTAACAGTAGAAGGTAACAAAGTGTGACTATGGGACAGTGGTATAGAAATTTGCACCCCAAACTGGTATCTAGAGATGAAAGTTGAACAAAGGAGAAGCACAATATATTATTGCACCTAATCCCTTTCCTAGAAAACATGTAAATATTGAACTATTTGAATTCTTCAGAAAAGTTTGTTCATTCTTATATATTTTGGTGTGTATGTGTGTCTCTGTGTGTGTTTTATTAAGTTCCAGAAGTAATATATAAAACTTCATGAATCTGTAATTTTATTGTTCAAGGACACAAATCTTTTGCCATAGATTTACACATTTTCAGGTCCAATGACTGTTTTAATTATGTGGCAAAAATTGCACAATATGTTATGCTAACCAACTATATCGCACCTTTAACCTCTTGATTTAGATTTAATTTAAATCTTAATTTAAAAATATATATATTTACATGCAAATAAATGAGTTCATTCAAAAATATATTACAGGAACCTTCTCAAATGCATATGAAATAGACAAAAAAGCTTTAGTTTGCAAGTACAGACATGATAAGATTCTAAATTAAAATGCATAATAATTTTATTTTAAATATGAGTTTTTTATTAGGATAGTATATTAGATTATTAAATAATTCAAGTAAGCATATACTGGTAACATTAGAAGAAATTGTATTTTTTCTTCTTTTCCAAAATATGATTGCTTTAAATAGTCATTAGGTATAGGTGAAATAGTTTATGACAAGTTCTACTGAAGAAATAAATTGCTTTCACTTACAGAGCCAATATGCTTCCAAAGTAATAAACTACATATATAATATGTATCTCTTTTGTTTGTTTATCAATTTTTTATTTCCCATGACATTTTTTCTAGCTATATCCTATTGTTATAACTATGTGTATAGTCTTGTGGGACAGAATTGGATGTAGAAATTCCTATGACTTGTAATAAAAGGATGAATTGAGTTGAGAAGTTTTGATCAGCAACATAATCTATGTTTTACTTATTGAAGCTGCACTATTCCGAAATAAAAAGATATTTTCTTTAAATGCCACTACTTACATTAGAACCTTGTTACATTTTATCCTCTTCAGCTTTTTTTTTTTTTAAAAAAGCTGTATTTTGTGCTATAAAAGTATAGCACAAAATACAGTTAGATCCAGGCTGAATAGTAGCAAAATGTTTCCATATGCTTTTAAAATATATTTTTATGTTTCTCAGATGACTAATTCTTACACACTGACATAGATATGAAGAAATTATGTTCTGTGCCATCTATCATTTTGGATACATTGCTTGAAAACATTAATAGGGAATTAGAAGAGACAATGCTAATATATATTAAATAGTGTTGCATGAACTTTGAGGGGACTAAAATATTGCCATGAAGTTGGAATGATACATATAAGATCTCTGTACAATACATTATACACATACTTTTCACAATATCTTTAGTCTCTGCTGAGTTTGTCCTACTTATCTTATTTTGTCTTTTTAGCGAATTTTGTAAATTTTACCTTCCCCATGGTCTATGGCTGTTTACTAAATATTTATTTATTTAAAACTTTTATAGAGCCACCAGCTCTTAACCAAATATGGGTAACTCCCAATCAAAAGTTAAAATAACTTAGGAAATTATATTAAAACTATAAGACTAAACTAAAGCATTAAGTAGATCTAGATCTTCGAACCGCTGCCCCCCGCCGCAGGGAGGTGGATCCAATTAGATGGATCCGCCCCAGGCACCTGATGGATCCTGAGAGGTTCCAGATGGAGCTTGGGCCATTTCCTGAAGTTCTAGCACATGACTCGGCCGAGGACCTGGTAGCCTCCTGGGATCGGGCGGCTGGTGGGGCCTTGGACCGAGTCGTGCCTTTGCGGCCTCTGACCCGGTGCTGATCCCGTGCGGCTCCTTGGTTCACCGAGGAGCTGAGGGAAATGAAGCGCTGGAAAAGACGCCTGGAGAGCGGTTGGAGGGCCAGTCTCGCTGAATCTGATCGAACACTGGTAAGGTCGCATATTAAGACCTACCTAGTGGCGATAAAGATGGCAAAGTTTAATTATCATCAGGGAATCGTCCGGCCGCCCTGTTTAGGGTGACCCGCTCCCTGCTCCATCCGGGAGTGCGGGAGGATCCCTTGGAAGGCAGGGCGGAGGATTTTGGACAATACCTGTATGACAAAATTGCTCAGATCCGGGGGGATTTGGACTGGGTAGATCAGGGCAGAGTGACGAGGAATAGTCTTGAGAATGTTATCTGGGAGGAGTTTGATGCTGTGTATCCCGATGATGTGGACAGGATTTTGGGGAGACTTAGTGCGGCCACATGTTTACTGGACCCGTGTCCCTCCTGGTTGGTACTGGCTTCCCGGGAGGTTATACGAGGCTGGCTCCAGGGTGTTATCAACGCTTCGCTGAGTGAGGGCCACTTCCCTGCTGCCTTGAAGGAGGCGGTGGTGAGGTCTCTCCTCAAGAAGCCATCCCTGGATCCGGCAATATTGGCCAACTACCGTCCTGTCTCCAACCTTCGCTTCATGGCGAAGGTTGTGGAGAGTGTGGTCGCGCAACAGTTCCCACAATTCCTGGAGGAAACATCTTATCTAGATCCATTCCAGTCAGGTTTCAGGTCTGGGCACAGCATGGAAACAGCATTGGTCGCGTTGGTTGATGATCTCTGGAGGACTCGGGACAGGGGTTGCTCCTCTGTTCTGGTCCTGTTAGATCTCACAGCGGCTTTTGATACCATCGACCATGGTATCATGCTGCACCGGCTGGAAGAGTTGGGGGTGGGAGGCACCGTGTTGCGGTGGTTCTCCTCCTTTCTTTCCGACCGGTCGCAGTTTGTGTTGGCAGGGGGGCAGAGGTCGACCTCGAGGCCTCTCATCTGTGGAGTGCCACAGGGATCGGTCCTCTCGCCCCTTCTGTTCAACATTTATGTAAAGCCATTGGGCGAGATCATCCGTGGCTTCGGGGTGAGATACCACCAGTACGCTGATGACACCCAGCTGTACATCTCCACCCCAGGCCACCCCAATGATGCCCTTGAAGTGATGTCCCAGTGCCTGGAGGCTGTGCGGATCTGGATGGGGAGGAACAGGCTCAAGCTCAACCCTTCCAAGACTGAGTGGCTGTGGCTCCCGGCATCCCGATATAGTCAGTTGACTCCATCACTGACTATTGGGGGCGAGTCTTTGGCCCCCACAGAAAGGGCTCGCAATCTGGGAGTCCTCCTGGATATGCAGCTGTCCTTGGAGGAACATCTGACAGCTGTAACCAGGGAGAACTTTTGTCAGGTTTGCCTGATTTGCCAGTTGCGGCCCTTTCTTGATCGGGATTCCCTATGCACAGTCACTCATGCCCTCGTCACCTCTCGCCTTGACTACTGCAATTACTCTACATGGGGCTCCCCTTGAAGAGCACCCGGAGGCTCCAACTGGTCCAGAATGCAGCAGCGTGGATAGTGATGGGAGCAGCATGGCGCTCCCATGTAACACCGCTCCTGCGTGAGCTGCACTGGCTCCCAGTGGTCTTCCGGGTGCGCTTCAAGGTGCTGGTTATCACATTTAAAGCGCTCCATGGCATCGGGCCTAGCTATCTTCGAGACCGCCTGCTGCTACCGACGACCTCCCATCGTCCCGTGCGCTCCCACAGAGAGGGCCTCCTCAGGGTGCCATCAGCCAATCAATGTAGGCTGGTGACCCCCAGGGGAAGGGCCTTCTCTGTGGGGGCACCTACCCTCTGGAATCAGTTGCCCCCAGAGATAAGGAGAATCCAAGACCTTAGTGCCTTCCGCCATGCCCTTAAAACCCACTTTTTCCAGCAAGCCGGGCTGGCTTAAGAAGAAATTTTAAATGTTTTAATTGGTTTGTATTTTGAATTTTGGGCCAAATTTATATATATATTA